GATGGTGGTGGGAGGGGCTCATGGTGCAGATGATTATTTTTATTATTATTATATTTATTATTTAACTGCAGTTAAAGGTTTAAAGTTTCAGATAAACTGTTTTTTTTATCTTCATGGAGACTTGAGTCTGACTCGTGTTTGTGTTGCAGCTTTCGGCGCATTTCCACCCGTCTGTGTCTCTGTTCGCCAAAACCATCCTCCAGGTGAGACCAGGACTGGACCAGGACTAAACCAGGACTGGACCAGGACTAAACCAGGACTAAACCAGGACTAAACCAGGAGGACTAAACCAGGACTAAACCAGGACTAAACCAGGACTAAACCAGGTCTAAACCAGGTCTAAACCAGGTCTAAACCAGGTCTAAACCAGGACTAAACCAGGTCTAAACCAGGTCTAAACCAGGTCTAAACCAGGACTAAACCAGGTCTAAACCAGGTCTAAACCAGGTCTAAACCAGGTCTAAACCAGGACTGAACCAGGACTGAACCAGGACTGAACCAGGACTGAACCAGGACTAAACCAGGACTAAACCAGGTCTAAACCAGGTCTAAACCAGGTCTAAACCAGGTCTAAACCAGGTCTAAACCAGGTCTAAACCAGGACTGAACCAGGACTGAACCAGGACTGAACCAGGACTAAACCAGGACTAAACCAGGTCTAAACCAGGTCTAAACCAGGTCTAAACCAGGTCTAAACCAGGTCTAAACCAGGACTAAACCAGGACTAAACCAGGACTGGACCAGGACTGCACCAGGACTAAAGCAGGTCTGTTCCAGGTCTAACCCGGTGTCTGTTTCAGGGGGACAGTATCTCGTACACTGGAGATCCTCTGCAGGATTTCACTCTGATCCGGTTTTTGGACAGATTTGTTTTCAGGAATCCCAAACAGCTCAAAGGAAAACGTGAGACTTTACTCATTTTACTCCCAAATAAAAACATAAAAAATATAAAAAACATAAAAAACAAAGCTGTGACAGTTTGAGTTTTGTTTTCAGAGAACAGTGAGTCTTTGGTGCTTCAACCCAAGAAAAATGTGACGTCGTCTCTGCCCGGTCAGTCCCACTATAACACACAATATAAAAAAAAATTAAATAAAAATATAATATAATGATGGAGGATTTGTGAGTCTGGTGTCAAACTGTGGTGTAAAACTCTTTCGTGTTGTGGTGTTGTTGTCGTTTCCAGTGAACGGTGAGGAGTTTGTGTCTAAAGACGAGAGTCAGATCCCAGTTGACCAGATCTTCTTCCACCGGTGAGACTCTGGAGCTTAACGTGAATGTTCTGTTCTGTGTGCTCACCCTGATTCTCTCACCCTCGTCACCCTCTCACTCCTCACCCTCGTCACCCTCGTCACCCTCCTCACCCTCGTCACCCTCCTCACTCTCCTCACCCTCCTCACCTCTCTCCTCACCTCACTCACCCTCCTCACCCTCGTCACTCTCCTCACCCTCGTCACTCCTCTCTCACCCTCCTCACCCTCGTCACCCTCGTCACCCTCGTCACCCTCCTCACCTCCTCACCCTCGTCACCCTCCTCACCCTCGTCACCCTCCTCACCCTCGTCACCCTCCTCACCCTCTCCCCCTCGTCACCCTCCTCACCCTCCTCACCCTCGTCACCCTCGTCACCCTCCTCACCCTCGTCACAATCGTCACCCTCCTCACCCTCCTCACCCTCATCATCCCGTAACTCTCCTGTTCAACATAAAACCTTTAAACAACATGAGTATTAAGTAACAGTAGTAATAGTACTGTGATCAGTACTTCTCATGTCCTTGTGTTGTAGTAATATTCACAGTAGTATTCGCAGTAGTAGTAGTATTTGCAGTAGCAGTATTGTGCTGAGTATTTCTTGTCGTTTCTCGTCGTAGTTTCTTCCGTAAGCGTCGCGAGCAGCAGCAGCAGAGCCGCAGACCTCGACCTGAAGGAGACACGGACAGTATCGAGGACGTGGACGACGACGAGTTCGAGAAGATCCTGGGTCAGAGGTCACACACAGGGGTCATACAGGGGTCATACACAGGGAGGGCACCTGACACACACACACACACACACACACACACACACACGGGGGGAGGAGGGTTTTTTCTTGTCGTTCTTTTCTGATGGTCTGTGTTTCTGTTCAGACTCGTGTGAGGGAGACTCGTACTACGCTCAGCTCAAAGAGAACGACCTGGACTTCGCCGGGTGAGTCGTGAGTCTGTTGAATCCGTGTGGCGTTCGTTCATTCGTTTTTCAATATAAAACCAAAAATAAGAAAACGAAAAAAGTTTTCTTTGTTATTTGCCCCCAAAATCAAAATGAAAAAACGGTTAATGATTCGTTTTTTCAGTTTTTGATTTTGTGTTTAAATGAAAAATGGAAAAAACGGATAACGACCGTTTACGTGACTCCCGTGACTGCGATGCCGGACTTTTGCGCTGCATATGGACTGAACCAGGACTGATCCAGGTCCGGGCCCAGAGCGAGACCAGAGCGGGACCGAGACTGGGACTGAGACCGAGACCAGAGCTATGACTCCGAGCCTCAGCTTCGAGCTCCAGTCCTGCCATGGGCTCTGAGCCTCCGGTCTGGTCCTGCTCTGGTCCCAGTCTGATCTCAGTCTCGGTCTGGTCCCGGTCTCAGTCCTTCTCTAGTCCTGGACCTGGATCAGTCCTGGTTTAGTCCGTACGCGGTGCAAAAGTCCCACATCGCAGTCACGGGAGTCACGTAAACGGTCGTTATCCGTTTTTTCCATTTTTCATTTAAACACAAAATCAAAAACTGAAAAAACGAATCATTATCTGTTTTTTCATTTTGGGTTTTGTGATAAATAATGAAGAAAATTGTTGTTGTTTTTTTCGATTTCTTATTTTTGGTTTTATTTTGAAAAACGAACGACTGACACACAGATTCTGTTGTGATGTGGTGAAATGTCCCGCAGTGGGGCTTTAACCTCGTCCTGGTGCAGTGTCCTGAGCGTCCACGTGGGGGCGCTGGTTTCCTCTTAAACTCTGTGTGTTTCAGGAGCGTGAGCCGGACAAAAGGGAAGGCGTCCGACTCCGGGTCTGAGGACTCGGACCAGGACCCGGACCAGGACCTGGACGACGAGGAGGTGGAGCTGAGTCTGGACGAGGAAGACTTCGGGGAGGAGTTTGAGGAAGAGGGCGGAGCTTTCGTGAATCCAGACGACGATGAAGAAGAAGAAGGTTGGAGGTTTTTCTGTGGCTCTGACGTTTGTGCGGCGGCTTTAGTGGGTCCAAACTTTTTTAGACTCTCCTGAATCTAAAAAAATGTTTGGTTGTCCTGGTTTAGTCCTGTTTTTAGTCCTGGTTTAGTCCTGTTTTTAGTCCTGTTTTTGTCCTGGTTTAGTCCTGTTTTTAGTCCTGTTTTAGTCCTTTTTAAGTCCTGGTTTAGACCTGTTTTTAGTCCTGGTCCAGTCCTGGTTTAGTCCTGGTTTAGTTCTGTTTTTAGTCCTGGTTTAGTCCTGTTTTTAGTCTTGGTTTAGACCTGTTTTTAGTCCTGGTTTAGACCTGTTTTTAGTCCTGGTTTTAGTCCTGGTTTAGTTCTGTTTTTAGTCCTGGTTTAGTCCTGTTTTTAGTCTTGGTTTAGACCTGTTTTTAGTCCTGGTTTAGTCCTTTTTAAGTCTTGGTTTAGTCCTGTTTTTAGTCCTGGTCCAGTCCTGGTCTAGTCCTGGTTTAAGTTCTGTTTTAGGCCTTAGTTGGTCTTAGTTTAGACTTAAGTCTTGGTTCAGTCCTGGTTTGATTCTAGTTTGGTCTGGTCTTAGGCTTGGTTTAGTTCTGGTTTAATCCTGGTTCAATCCTGGTTTAGTCCTGGTTTAGTTCTTGTTTAGTCCTGGTTTATAATATAGTTCGTGTTTTTTATTTTTCTGATCTTTCTTATTCGTTTGTTTTCAGTCCCGGAGTTGGAGGAAGACGAGGATTTTGGAGGTGAGTTTTGTGATTTTAAATTTCCACAAATGTTTTTTTAATTTTCTTTTCTTTTTATTTGACAAAGAAACGTGACGTTGTGATGTTTTTTTGTCCCAGACTCGGACGAGGAGGAGATGGACGTTCAACCACAGAAGAAGAAAACCAAGAGGAAACACGCAGACGAGCTGGACTTCGCTCAAGGTTTAGGTACAAAATATCAAATAAAAATAAAAATAGATTTAAATAAAAGTGTGATTTGGCCGACGGTCGGATGAAAATGTTCAAATCCAAAATGTTTCAGGACCAAAAGGAGCGAAGAAGAAGAAGAAAGGAAAGAACGACTCGGCCATGTTTGCATCTGCTGAAGAGGTCAGAACCTGACAAATCTGCTGAAGAGGTCAGAACCTGGTCTAGACCTGGTCTAGTAGTCCTGTCTAGTCCTGGTAGTCCTGGTTAGTCCTGGTTAGTCTGGTTTAGTCCGGTTTAGTCCTTTTTTAGTCCTGGTTTAGTCCTGGTCTAGTCCTATTTTAGGCCTGGTTTAGTCCTTTTTTAAGTCGTGGTTTGGTCCGGGTTTAGAACAGTTTTTAGTCCTGGTTCAGTCGTGTTTTTAGTCCTGGTTTTTGTCTCTACAGTTCGGGTCTTTGTTGGATGAAAATTCCGGCTCTAAATTCGACAACGTGGGACTGAACGCCCTGAGGAACACGGACAAAGCAGGTACACAAACACACACACACACACACAACACACACACAACACACACACACACGCGCACACGACTACACACAAACACAAATGAACACACAAACACACACTGGGACTTTAGGTTTAATGTAAAATATTTGACACCAACACTTGTTTTATTTTAATTTTAGTAAAAGTCAAAAGTACACACACGTGTACACACACGTGTACACACACGTGTACACACACGTGTACACACACGTGTACACACACGTGTACACACACGTGTACACACACGTGTACACACACCCTGATGAGGCACAGAAAATAAAAGTTAAATATTTAATGCAGAACTTCCCTCTTTGTTTCCTTTTTAAAAGTTCTGACTTTGTGCAGTTACATGGATTTGATCAAGACGTCGATGTGTCAAAACAACTTCAAACTCATAAAATCCAGTTGTTTCGTTTAATCTGATTGGTCGGTTCGTGTGTGGGCGTGGTGTTCTGCCCGGTAACAGTGACAGTGTGTGATGTGATTGGTCGGTTCGTGTGTGGGCGTGGTGTTCTGCCCGGTAACAGTGACAGTGTGTGCTGTGATTGGTCGGTTGTGTCCAGGTGTGAAGCAGCTGAAGTGGGAGTCTCAGCGCGACGACTGGATCCACGACCGCGACGCCAAAACTCTGAGGAGGAAGAAGAGCATGTTCCAGAGGAAGAGGAAACCGCACGCGCCCGCAGGAAACAGGAAGTTCCCCGCACGCGCGCCCGCAGGAAACAGGAAGTCCAACGCACGCGCGCCCGCAGGAAACAGGAAGTCCAACGCCAAGAGGAGGAAGTGACAGATCAGGCTGTGAAAAAAAACCACGGACGTTTAAATAAATCGCCTGAAATCTGAGTCCAGAACTTTTATATTTGACAGAGACATTTTTAAAGCAGAACATTTGTTGAAATATATTTGTTTGGTGTAAAAAGTGACAGATCCGTTCAGAGGGTTAAAGGTCGACGACTCGGACAGAACTCTGTGTTCATATGAATAAAACACCAGTTTTCAGTTTGATTCATTTTGTTTTTGTTTAAATCCAGAGTGTCAGAGCTCAGGAGGCTGATGGAGACAAATATCAAGTTGTGATTTCGTCTTTTTGATGATCTGATTCACTATTTTCTTTCTTTTGCAGCAACACTTGCAACACTTTTTCCCACCTACTCCTCGTTTTGAGTAAAAGATAAATATTTATTACAGAGAGAAATAATGAGCTCTGTTAATCCGTGTGTCATTGTTGCTTTTTCGTTTTATATTTAAAAACCAGTTTTCTTCATTATTTGTCCCCAAAACCAAAATGAAAAAAACAGATAATGATTTGTTTTTTCAGTTTTCGATTTTGTGTTTAAATGAAAAAATGGAAAAAAACAGATAACGACAGTTTCCTGTTTACGTGACTTCAGTGACTCTGATGCTGAAATTTTGCACTGGATACGGACTGAACCAGGACTGGTCCAGGTCCGGGACCAGACCAGGAGCAAGACTGAGACTGAGACCAGAGCTTTGACTCCGAGCCTCAGCTTCGAACTTCGAGCTCCCGCCCTGGACCTGGTCCTGGTCCTGGCCCTGGCCCTGGCCTGGCCTGGTCCTGGACCTGATCCTGGTCCTGGTCCTGTTTCAGTCCGTACGTGGTGCAAAAGTCCAACATCAGTCCCTGAAGTCACATAAACAGGAAACGGTCGTTATCCTTTTTTTTTTTTCCATTTTTCATTTAAACACAAAATTGAAAACTGAAAAAATGAATCATTATCTGTTTTTTCATTTTGGTTTTGGAGACAAATAACGAAGAAAATTGTTTTTTCATTTTCTTATTTTTGGTTTTATATTAAAAAAACGAATGAACAAACGACACGATTCTGTTCAAACTTGCGTCACAAAAACTGAGGACGACTTCCTTCGGCCTCTGTTAGAACCTCTGAAAAAATCTTGGAAAACTGAGGAAATTTTCATCTACATGTCAGTGTTTTCTTTCTTTTTTCCTGTTCATTTATGTTTTATAATCTGAGTCTGTTTACACCAGAACTCGTGGGTAAAAACGACAAAATAATGATGTCAATCATTTTGTCAGTTCTTGTTGAAATAAGTTCAGATTTTCACAGGACGGTTTTTCCTCCACTGAGCTGCTTTTACTAAATGAAATTACCCGAGAGCTTCTCACTTCAGCAGTTTAAACACGAGGACCTGAGTGAACCTCAGACGGGGACAGTCACATTCCTCTTAAACATAAACCTTTATCCATTTGATCAAGTTTTATTTCTTCAACACAATAAACAGAATTCAGAAATGTTTTGGTGCTGGAGCTGCTCTGGTGTCTCCTGATGTTTAGAAACAGATGAACATTGGTTTATATGTCAAGTTTTATTTTAGTTGTTTTCAGGTTGAGTCGTTCACAGACAGAATCATGTTGTGTTGAATCTGCTGCAAACACCAAGACTGAAACTTCAACACAACATCTGGAAAAACAAACTTGGAACCAAAAATGTGCAGAGGAAAAATGTTCTGCAGGACTAAAGGATCTGGACCAACATGAACATCAGAGGAGAAGCAAGAGCAAGAATCATGAAAAACTCCTGTGAAGCACCAAGAGTCTGTGAGAAGAACAAGTCTGGAAACCCAGATCCTTTAGTCCCGCAGAACATTTTTGGTTCCAAGTCCAAATTTGTTTCCAGTTGGTGAAATGTTGTTGTGTTGAAGTTTCAGTCTTGGGTGAGCAGCAGATTCAAGACTCAATGATTCTGTTTGAGCTTGAACGACAAAAATAAAACTTTACATTTCAAATCTTCATCTGTTTCTGAACATCCTGAGAAAAGAACTGACAAAATGACCTGTACATTTACACACTTCACCAAAAAAATAGAATCATTTCTTTAGAGTCGATGATATAAATAAAAACACGTGTGTGATTTACCTGTGTGAATAAAACCCGGTCCAGGTCCCGGTCCCAGTCCAGGTCCAGGTCCCGGTCCCGGTCCCAGGTCCCGGTCCAGGTCCAGGTCCCGGGTCAGTTCTGTCTCCAGGCGTCGCGGTCTCGCTCTCTGATGCCGTACACTCCCGCCCACTCGTTGGACAGATAATACGCTGCAACGACACAACCGACCAATCAGAGGAGGCCGTGGGGGCGGGCACTTCCTGTACGTTTTTCTGCTGCGCTCGAGATCTGAACGTTTGTCTGAATAAAAACTGAATAAACCCGACTCGTAGGACACACGAGGCTCTCGTACTCGAACATGACTCCAGTCGTGGAGAAAAAGAAGTTTAAATCAAATCAGCGCGAGTCGGTTTGATTCGTGCGGCGAGAGGAGATCAACTTTTATAAATGAAGAAGAACAAATGTTTTAAACGAGTAAATATCACGTCTTGTTCTACGGTCACAGTCGACGAAACGTTTTATTTTGAACACAAATAAAAGCTGATTCAATAAGACTGTAAGTAGTTTATAAAATGTTTTTTTACCAGGACTGGGGATTATTCGGAAGTTGCCGATACAATATTTATACAGTGAGTTTTTTATTCGATACGATATATTTTACATCAATTCAATACGGTTCAATAAAAAATGAAGTCTTAAATCATGTCTGTGATTCTAAAAGTCTTTGTTAAATCATTTCTTGTGTAAAGTTCAAATGAAACACAAACATTTTAATCGTCAAAACAGAGAAAATGTCAAACGAGTTTCTTTTCTCTGAACAAACAACAACTGGAGCTGGAACTAAATCATTGAGGAAATAAACCAAAAAAATCCTCTTGGTGATTTATCGATACAGCAGCTCACGATATCGATACTGCATCATCACATTAAACGATACGATATATTGATATTTGGATATTTTTCCTCTTCTGGTTTTGTTTTCTCCACCTCAGCTAAATTCTTCAGATTGATTCCTGCAGCTTCACTCCTTCCTCCTCTGCTTTTTCATCAAATCATGATTTTTTAAAATTTGTCAAAATTATTTATGTTTTATGTTAATTTGGTGAAATGATTTGCTCAGAGGTAAAAAAAAAAAAGTGAATTTGTTGTGAATCTCTGACCTTCCAGGACGGACGGGAAGCGTCTGTTCACTTTGCTCCTGAAGTCTGGAACAGAACAAAGTCACAGAGTCACAGACAGAAGAGAAGAAAGAAAAGTTACACAGTGCAGCTTTAAGTCAGAGTTTGGTTTAGTTTGGTTTAGTTTGGTTTAGTTTGAGTTTAGAGTTTGGTTCGGCGTTAGACGGGTGAGAGAGTTCGGCGTTAGAGTTAGAGTTAGAGGCGTGAGAGTTAGAGGGCGTTAGAGTTCGGCGTTAGAGTTGGGCGTTAGAGTTCGGCGTTTAGAGTTAGAGTTGGGCGTTTGAGAGTTCGGCGTTAGAGTTTAGAGTTCGGCGTTAGAGTTCGGCGTTGAGAGTTGTTAGAGTTCGGCGTTAGAGTTTTAGAGGCGTTTCGGCTTTTGAGAGTTCGGCGTTAGAGTTCGGCGTTAGAGTTCGGCGTTAGAGTTGGGCGTTAGAGTTGGGCGTTAGAGTTCGGCGTTAGAGTTCGCGGCGTTGAGACGTTAGAGTTCGGCGTTAGAGTTGCGAGAGTGAGAGTTGGGCGTTTGGAGAGAGTTCGGCGAGAGTTCGGCGTTAGAGTTCGGCGTTAGAGTTCGGCGTTAGAGTTGGGCGTTAGAGTTCGGCGTTAGAGTTCGGCGTTAGAGTTCGGCGTTAGAGTTCGGCGTTAGAGTTCGGCGTTGAGAGTTCGGCGTTAGAGTTCGGCGTTAGAGTTCGGCGTTAGAGTTCGGCTTTTGAGAGTTCGGCGTTAGAGTTCGGCGTAGAGTTCGGCGTTAGAGTTCGGCGTGAGAGTTCGGCGTTGAGAGTTGGGCGTTAGAGTTCGGCGTTAGAGTTCGGCGTTAGAGTTGGGCGTTGAGAGTTCGGCGTGAGAGTTCGGCTGTTTGAAGAGTTGAGAGCGTTAGAGTTCGGCGTTAGAGTTCGGCGTTAGAGTTCGGCGTTAGAGTTCGGCGTTAGAGTTGAGAGTTCGGCGTTAGAGTTCGGCGTTAGAGTTCGGCGTTAGAGTTCGGCGTTAGAGTTCGGCGTGAGAGTTCGGCGTGAGAGTTCGGCGTTAGAGTTCGGCGTTAGAGTTCGGCGTTAGAGTTCGGCGTTAGAGTTCGGCGTTAGAGTTCGGCGTTAGAGTTTAGGACCTTGGCTGGAGTTCATGGCCTGGAAAAGTCCGTAGGCGCCGAACACTCCGAGCAGCTCCACCGCGATCACCGCCTTCAACAGACGCTTCGCCACCGGCTCCAGGGGGCGCATCTGAGCACAAGAACAGGACTAAAACAAGAACTAAACCAGGACTGAACCAGGACTAAACAAGAAAACTAAACCAGGACTGAACCAGGACTGAACCAGGACTGACTAAACCAGGACTAAACCAGGACTAAACCAGGACTAAAACCAGGACTAAACCAGGACTAAACCAGGTCTAAACCAGGACCAGGACTAAACCAGGACTAAACCAGGACTAAACCAGGACTAAACCAGGACTCTAAACCAGGACTAAAACCAGGACTAACCAGGAAAACCAGGACTAAAACCAGGACTAAACCAGGACTAAACCAGGACTAAACCAGGACTAAACCAGGACTAAACCAGGACTAAACCAGGACTAAACCAGGACTAAACCAGGAGGACTAAACCAGGACTAAACCAGGACTAAACCAGGACTAAACCAGGTCTAAACCAGGACTAAACCAGGTCTAAACCAGGACTAAACCAGGTCTAAACCAGGACTAAACCAGGACTAAACCAGGACTATCAAATGAAACAGAAAACACACACCAAAATCCTTGTTGAGGAGCAAATGCATCGAACAGGAAGATAAAAGTGTAAAAACTGCGCAGTAACTCAGACGTCCATGTGCCAAAACCTTTGTTTTTAAATATCGTTTCAGTGAAAAAAACTTTCTTGCTTTTCTAGTAAAAATATCTGACGAAGGCTTTTGTCGCCCAAACGTTATTCAAAAATATAAAAGCTTTCGGACATCGGCCATGTGAGTGAGTTGTGCAGTTTTCACCTTCACCTGAACCAAAATTATACCAGGACTAAACCAGGTCTAAACCAGGACTAAACCAGGACTAAACCAGGACTAAAAGGACTAAAACAGGTCTAAACCAGGACTAAACCAGGACTAAACAGGAACTAAACCAGGACTAAAACAGGACTAAAAACAGGACTAAACAGGACTAAAACCAGGACTAAAACAGGACTAAACCAGGACTAAAACAGGACTAAACCAGGACTAAACCAGGACTAAACAGGACTAAAACAGGACTAAAACATTTCTAAACCAGGACTAAAACATTTCTAAACCAGGACTAAATCAGGACTAAACCAGGACTAAATCAGGACTAAACCAGGACTAAAACATTTCTAAACCAGGACTAAACCAGGACTAAATCAGGACTAAAACATTTCTAAACCAGGACTAAACCAGGACTAAATCAGGACTAAAACAGGACTAAACCAGGACTAAAACAGGACTAAACCAGGACTAAACCAGGTCTAAACCAGGACTAAACCAGGACTAAATCAGGACTAAACCAGGACTAAAACATTTCTAAACCAGGACTAACAGGACTAAATCAGGACTAAAACATTTCTAAACCAGGACTAAAACATTTCTAAACCAGGACTAAACCAGGACAGTTGTGTTTATTTTCCCTCGTCTGAACTTGGACTGAATCCGGGTTAAATCAGGACGTGACTTAAATATAAAACAGGATAAAAACAAACAAACAAATAAATAAATGAACATTTGTAATGGTGAGATTTTGTCACAGTATTTCAGTCTGTGTAAATATTTACTTATATTTTAAAGGTTTTACTCGGTCCAGTTTAGCTCAAACCTGGACAAACTTTAATCATAATCGAACCTAAAGTCTCTGTCTCTTGTTTGTTTCACCTTTTCTCACCTTTACGCGGGCTGTGGCACGTGACCCTCTGTGTCCACGAGGGAAAATGTGAAAGAAAAAACACGAAATAAACAAAATAAACGAAATAAGAGGAGGAGAAACTCTGCACGATCCGTCCGCCCGATCCGTCCTTCTGTTTACGGACGGACTTCCGGGTTACGGAGGCCCGGAGGAAAAAACGACTCTTTTTTTTTTTTTTTTTTTTTTTTTTTTCAAATGATAAAACACACTAACATTTTGGATATTATTAAGAAAAAATATGTTAACTTCTAAATTTGTGTTGTTGAAACTAGACATAAATTAAAATTCATGATACATTCAAAAAAATAAATAAATACATAATCAATTTAATTTAATTTACAGATTTTAAACACTTGAAAGTCTCACAAGTCAACGAGACAGAACCACCAGAGCTGGCACCAAGTCTTTGTTTTGCGAGTCTCAAGTCTTTGACCTCAAGTCCGAGTCGAGTCTCAAGTCAAACACAGTCAAGTCCGAGTCAAGTCCCAAGTCAAACACGGGAAAGTCCAAGTCAAGTCCCAAGTCAAACACAGTCAAGTCCAAGTCAAGTCCCAAGTCAAACACGGGAAAGTCCAAGTCAAGTCTCAAGTCAAACACAGTCAAGTCCAAGTCAAGTCCCAAGTCAAACACGGGAAAGTCCAAGTCAAGTCCCAAGTCAAACACAGTCAAGTCCAAGTCAAGTCCCAAGTCAAACATGGGAAAGTCCAAGTTGAGTCTCGAGTCACTGGTCCATAAGTCCAAGTCAAGTCCAAGTCCAGGTCGTCTGCTTTGAGCTTCAAGTCATTTCAAGTCTTTAAACCAAAAAAGCACCAAATATAGTTTAGATTTTTGCCGTTTATATGGATTTTAAACTAAATTTTACTTAAAAAGTCATGGTATATTTATATAAATGTTGTATGTGTGTAAATGCAAGTTTTTTTTCCCTTTTCTTCTTTTCTTCCTTTTCCTTTTTTTCCTTGACAAGTTCTGAGTGTGAATCGTGACAATCAGAACAAAAAGAATTCAGATTTAAAAGTTTAATATCAGTTATTTTGTCGCGTGTCTGAAATGGAAGGATCATGTTCTGTGTATTTTACTCTGTTTTTACTGTGTTGTACTTTATATTACTGTAGTACTTTTGAGTATCGCAGTACTTCAGTTCCATCCAAAGTACAAACAGAAGTGGGAGCGACATGTTCCAGTTTGTTTCTGTCAAATTCAGCGTCACGTTTATCGACTGTGAAGAGAAAAGTAATTTATAAAAACAGATTTATTTTTTAGCCGAAGCACCGAGTCTTTTCAAGTCACAGGCCTCAAGTCCAAGTCAAGTCTCAGGTCCTATAAATAGTGACTCAAGTCTGACTCGAGTCCTGAGTCCAAGTCACGACTCACAAGTCCCGACTTTTATCTGGACAAAATTCACAAACACAAAAATCACACAAACAACAACACAAGAGAAAAAAGGAAAAAACAAAACAAACAAACCTCAGTGTCTTTATGTTCTGTTTTATATTATTTTCATTTGTTAAATGTTGATTATTATTATTTTATTGTATTAAACGTTATATTCTGTTGTCCTTAATGGTAATAATTTTAAAAAACTCACAAACCGTTCACCAAATAAAAAAGTGTAACATAAGAACAGAGGAGCGTGACTCTGCTCCGTTACAGAAATCTCCTCTAGATGTTTTATGTTTTACATTTATTTTATTTTATTTGTTTTTGTTCTGTGTTATTGTCTGGAAAATGGAAAAAGTGACTAAGAAGAATTTAAAAAGCACATTTAATCTAAAAATGGAACGATTTTTTACCCCAGTGTTTGTGAATTTGGAATATTTTAATTTAAAATAAAGTGTTTCCTGACTGGACCAGCAGAGGGCGCAGTCACACCAAAAATCATCCGGTTTGTCACGAGCCTGAGTGAAAATCTGAAATGAAATAATAAACCATGAACTAAACACATAAACAAATATTTACGCTGGAAATAAATAAACAAATAATAAACGAGCAAATTATTAATTAAACGTCAGATTAATTTAAGAATTAAAGGGGCACTGTGTAACTTTTCTGGTGGGAGGTCCATCACCTGTTTGTCTCCATGGAGATTTATTTATTTATTTATTTTGGAATGTTCCGCAGTGTGACATTAAACAGTATTTATGTTTAATATCTCACATTTCTTTATGACCTGAGTTTCTGTTCATCAAATATAAAGTCATTCTCTCTGTGAACAGAGACGCCGATCCACAGATCTGACCTGTAACTCTGCCTGTTCTTGTCTCTCTTGGGCTCAACAGCAGCAGTGTCAAACACACGGCCCGGGGGCCAGATCCGGTCCTCCAACACCTTTAATGTGGCCCTCGGGTGATTTTCTACTAAAATATTTGAATGATATTTTCTGTTAAAATGGTGTTAATTTTGTGTGGTGTTTATCACAGCAGCGTCTCCAGCGTCTCTGTACGTGGCCCCTCCCACCAGAGCAGCACAAATGAAGACTTGTCTCTTTCCAAACGCTCTTAAAGGACGATCGTTTTGACTGTTGACCGTGACACCCTCATCAGAAAAATGTCCAACATGAGAAAAGTGGAAAAAGAAAAATTGACTTATTCTGTTTACAGACAAGTTCATGTTCAAACTTTGTTTTGAAATTGTATTTTTCTTAAAGTTTCAGGTTGTTCATAATATTATAATATTTTGTAAAAGAAAGAGTTCATCAGTTAAAAAATATTTGTGTAATAGATTTGTGTTTCTCTACACAAATATTTGAACTTATTATTTTTGGGGTTTATATGACGTGAGTTTTCTGATCAAAGTCCTTTGGAAACGACCCCCAGAACAAAATGAGTTTAACTCCTCCTGATCTACAGGTTTAATCTCTAGACAAAGTGACACACTGCAGCTTTAATGTTCAAAATGTAAATGTTTTTGTTTTTTGTGACACAAACAGAAAGAATTGTTCATAGTTTATATGATTTTAGAAGCAAGAAAATAAATAAAAGTGAATATTTAGCACACAGTGTGAGTCGTGTTCTGTGTCTTTTATTTCATTTTGAATTTGATTTTATTCATTATTTTAGTTTTATTTATGTTTATTAAAAACGTCACAATCACATTAGAAAAGACAGATGTTTTAAGTGTTTCAGCACAAGTGACAGTTTTTAACAGCGTCTGTGGAAAAATATAAAATACATCCATAAAAAACAGACAAAACGAGATCAAGATTAAAACAGGTGAAATGTTCAAAGTTCAGCAGGTTTGGTTTGGTTAAAGGATTTGGTTGAGGAGAACTGAGAAGAGAAATGAGAGAAGATCTTTGTGATCATGAAGAGTTTTGGCGTGTGGAGGTTAAATCTTCATGTATGAAACTAAAGAACTGAAGATGAGTCTGAATGTTTCGTTTGACTCATGAATCTGATGTTTTCATCCTGAACGAGGCTCCAGGTTTTTAACTTCACTGACTCAGTTTTCTCCTTGTGAATCATTGAAACAAAAACAAACAGTTTGGGTTTTTTTTACATTCAAAGTCAAATGTGACACTAGATCAGGAGGAGTTAAACTCATTTAGTTCTGGGGGTCGTTTCATGTTTGATCCAAAGTGTCTGGATCAGAAAACTCATGTCATATAAACCCCAAAAATAACAAGAAGTTCAAATATTTGTGCAGAGAAACACAAATCTATTACACAAATCTTTTTTAATTGATGAACTCTTTCTTTTACAAAATATTATAATATTATGAACAACCTGAAACTTTAAGAAAAATACAATTTCAACACAAAGTTTTAACATGAACTTGTCTGTAAACAGGAATAAGTCCATTTTTGTAGTAAAATCCTGCACTCGGCTCCACTTTTCTCATGTTGGACATTTTTCTGATGAGGGTGTCACGGTCAACAGTCAAAACGATCGTCCTTTAAGAGCGTTTGGAAAGAGACAAGTCTTCATTTGTGCTGCTCTGGTGGGAGGGGCCACGTACAGAGACGCTGGAGACGCTGCTGTGATAAACACCACACAGAAAATTAACAACATTTTAATAGAAAATATCATTCAAATATTTTAGTAGAAAATCAGCCGAGGGCCAGATTAAAGGTGTTGGAGGGCCGGATCTGGCCCCCGGGCCGTGTGTTGTGAGCTGCTGTGAGTCTGAGCAGGTGATTTTGTAAAAACATTTGAACATTAAGAGTAAAACAGAACTGAGGGACGTTAATGTGCAGGAAAAAAACATCAGAACCAGTTTTATTTTTGTGTTTTTGAACAGTTTTTCTTGATTGTTTTTACATCTGATTTTCTCTTTTATTGTCACGTTTATGAAATAGAAAAATAGAAAAACAGAAATAAAAAGGACATTTTCTTGGGAGGATCTGAAACATTCCGGTCTCCATGGCGACGGCGTTGTTGTGTCTGGAATGTTCCACAGTGTGACATTAAACACGTCTGTCTCACTTTTATTCATGACCTGAGTTTCTGTTGTTCAAAAATACAATAATAATTCTCTGTGAACAGAGACGCCTCTCCACAGATCTGACCTGTAACACTGTAGTTTTACAGGTTTAATCTCCAGACAAAACAAGAATCATCTCCATGGAAACAAGAAGGTGACGAAAAGTGACACACTGCAGCTTTAATGTTCAAAATGTTCATGTTTTTGTTCATAATTTGATTTATTTTCTTGTTCCTAAAATCGTATAAAGTGAATATTTGAACAGAGTGAAATGTGTGACTTTTATTTAATTTTTAATTTGATTTTATTCATTTTTTAAATATTTATAACCATTTTTATCTTTGTGTATTTGAAGACTTTTTCTTGATTGTTTTTGTCTCTTTTCTTGTCACGTTTATGAAAAATAAAAATATAAAAATAGAAATAAAGCGGACGATAAACTGAATGTTTCTGGGGTTTTTTTTTGGAGGATCTGAAATGTTCCGGTCTCCATGGTGATGTTGCTTTACATGGAATGTTCCGCACACTGCGGGACATTCCGGACAGAGCGAAAAGGTCTCCATGACGACGAGCGGACGACGGAGCCTTCGCCAGAAAACTACGCAGTGCGGCTTTAAACGTTTACACCAAACGAGAAACAAGAAGAAAACAAAAGAAACAAACGATCTGACGCCTCCACAAGAAGAACTGGTTTAGACCTGGTTTAGACCTGGTTTAGTCCTGGTTTAGTCCAGGTTTAGTCCTGGTTCAGTCCTGGTTTAGTCCTGGTTTAGTCCTGGTTTAGACCTGGTTTAGACCTGGTTTAGACCTGGTTTAGACCTGGTTTAGTCCTGGTTTAGTCCTGGTTTAGTCCTGGTTCAGTCCTGGTTCAGTCCTGGTTCAGTCCTGGTTTCAGTCCTGGTTTAGTCCCGTTTTAGTCCTGGTTTAGACCTGGTTCAGTCCTGTTTTAGTCCTGGTTTAGTCCTGGTTCAGTCCTGTTTTAGTCCTGGTTTTAGTCCTGGTTTAGACCTGGTTCAGTCCTGGTTCAGTCCTGGTTTAGTCCTGGTTTAGTCCTGGTTTAGACCTGGTTCAGTCCTGGTTTAGTCCTGGTTTAGTCCTGGTTTAGTCCTGGTTTAGTCCTGGTTTAGACCTGGTTCAGTCCTGGTTTAGTCCTGGTTCAGTCCTGGTTTAGTCCTGGTTTAGTCCTGGTTTAGTCCTGGTTTAGTCCTGGTTCAGTCCTGGTTTAGTCCTGGTTTTCTTATATTTCAGTATTTTGATTTTCTAAATGTAAATGTTTTTTTTTTTTTTTTTTCAGATCTTGAGCAGAAATCAGCAGGAGGTGAATCCAAATCAAATAAACCGTTTTCTCTGTGGAGGAGAAGAGGACCACACACCAGGACCCATCTGAGGAGACTCAAATCCAGACCAGAACCAGACCAGAACCAGACCAGAACCAGACCAGAACCAGATCCTCAGGTTCCTCTGGTCTGGATCCTAAAACAGTCCCATTTTCAGAACCAAACCTTTGTTCAGTGTGTTTAAAACAAGAGCAGAGACTAAAATACACACATGGACCTGGTTTAGACCTGGTTTAGACCTGGTTTAGACCTGGTTTAGACCTGGTTTAGACCTGGTTTAGACCTGGTTTAGACCTGGTTTAGACCTGGTTTAATTGATCATTACATTTATATCGTGTCTTTCAAGATTCCCAAAGCTCTTTACAGATCATTATTCACTCCACACTCAGTCCTGGTTTAGATCAGATTTAATCCTGGTTTAGTCCTGGTTTAGTCCTGGTTTAGTCCTGGTTTTTAGCTCCTCCTCTCGCTCGTTTCTCCGTCAGTGTTCCTCTCTCTCTCCTCATGTCCAGAGCAGCTCTGGGTTAAGACCTGGTCCAGTCCTGGTTTAGTCCAAGTAAATCCTGATTTACTCCTTAGGTCTGGATTGGTTCTGGTTTAGTCCCGGTTTAGTCCCGGTTTAGTCCCGGTTTAGTCCCGGTCTGGTCCAGGTCTGGTCATGTCCAGAACCGGTTTCTCGGTGCGGGATCTCTTGGACTTGCCTGAGTCCGAGTCCAGGACTTCGTCGGGACCCGGGCAGAGCCGAGGAGACGAGTCCAGACACGAGGCCCCGAAGTCGGACGAGCTGCAGAGCGACGGCCCCTGGATCCACGGAGCCTCGGAGCCGCACTTCACAGGTCAGAACTGAACAAAGACAAACACAAAAACACAACCGAGGTTTAACTCCACGAGACGCGTTAGAAAAGAAAAAGAAAAGAACAAAAAAAGAAGAGAAAATAATCTGTAAATATTGAAATAATTTGTCTTTAGCATTTGATTTTTTTCTCGTCTGTTTTTGGAATTTGTGCCACGTTTGACAAAAAATGAAAATACTAAAAAAATAATAAAATAAAATAAAATAAAAAAATCTGACTTTTCTGGAGATAAAATAAAAATGAGGACAAAATAAAAAAACATTGTAATTACAGTAAATTATTTTGATTAAATGTTTTATAATAATAATAATATTATTATTATTGCTATTATAAATTTTATTATTATTGCTATTATTATTATTATTATTATATTTTAATAGGCTGATGTTAATTATAAAATGACAAATATTAAAAATATTAAATTAATTATAAAAATTATTAATGAATTTTTCTGCATTTTAATTTTTTTTATTAAATATAAAAGATTAAAAATTCACATAAATTATATTTTACACATTTTACACATTTTATTATTTAAAGCTGCGGGAAAAACTGATGAAGCAGAATCATGAAAGTCTAATTTTTGTGTTTTAAAAAATGTTTTAAATCATATTTGAACAGTTTGATTCACATTAGAGTTGATTTAAATCGCAGTTAAATGTTTTTTGTGGTTTGTTCAGACTCTGTGTGGTCTGGTCCCGCGGCGTCGCTGCGGGAGAAAAGAGTTTAAAGAGTTTATGCTCCGTTTATGAAAAAGCAAAAGCGCCGCAGTGTTTCTTTATAATCTGCCCATTTACACCCGAACAAAAGAGGGTTTAGTTTAATACGCGCGCGCGCAGAGACATTTACACAAACACCAAGAAGAAATGTGCAAATACAAAAAATATATTTAAAAAAATAATTAAAAACAGGAAAAAAACAAAAACAAACGGGAGATAAACGTGAGGAATAAACTAAATGTTTCTAAACTGATTCAGTTTTTATTCTCTTCAGCTCCGGGAGCGCGCGGAGCCACAGCGGCCCGCGGCTCTTTTGTGCGGCTCTTTTCACGCGCGGAGCAACAAAACACGCGCCCAAAACACCCGCCCTGCGCGTGACAGACCCGGACCACCCGCGCTCTGACCCGAGTCCAGGACCCGAGTCCAAGACCCGAGTCCGGGCCTCGGGTCCAGGCCCCGGTTCAGTCGGTCTCGTGTCCGTGAGTCCGGAGACTGAACTTTAAACTCTGTTGTTGTGTGATGTAATAATATTATAATGTTATAATATAATATAATAATAATATAATATAATATAAATATAATATAAATATAATATGAATATGAATTATTTCTCTAATTTAATTTTGTTTTCATCTTGTGTTTTGTTGCTGACGTCACTTTTCTCGTGTGTTCGTCACAGTGCGCGCGCTCCCGCTGAAGCCCGCGCGGGACCAGCCCTCGGTGGTCTCGTGCGCTCCGAGCGCTCACGCGCCTAAAGGCCGCGTGCGGAAGCGGCGCGTGCTCTTCTCCAAGGCTCAGACCTTTGAACTGGAGCGGCGCTTCAAAGAGCAGCGGTACCTGTCCGCGCCGGAGCGCGAGCACCTGGCGGGACTCATCCACCTGACCCCGAACCAGGTCAAGATCTGGTTCCAGAACCATCGATACAAACTCAAGCGCGCGCGCGCCGAGCGCGGCCTCGAGGCGCTGCAGCTGGTGCCCGTGCGCCGCGTGCACGTGCCTCTGCTCAAACCCTGCGAGCGCGTGCTCCCGCTGTGCGTGTCCGCGCTCCTGCCGCACGAGCCGCACGCGCTGCAGCCGCTCGCGCACCTCTACCACTGGAGCTGGTGACGCGCGCACGCACGCGCACGTGGACTTTAACAAACTGTAAATACAGCACGTGACGTTTGGAAGTGTGACGTCATCAACCCGGACCAAGACCCAGGACCCGAGACCCGAGACCCGAGACCCAGGACCAGAGACCGGGGACCCGAGACCCGAGACCCGAGACCCGGACCCAGGACCCGAGACCCGAGACCGGGACCCGAGACCCGAGACCCGAGACCAGAGACTAAAGACTAGAGACTAGAGACTAGAGACTAGAGACCAGAGACCGGGACCGGGACCAAGACCAGGACCAAGAATAAAGACCCAAGACCCGAGACCCGGACCCAGACCAGAGACCAGAGACCTGACACCTGGACCAGAGTCTTTTCTGTCTGAGTTTTGACTTTTGGACTTTTTGGTCCAAGTCTGGACTGTGTTTAGTTCACATGATCCAGAGTCTCAGACGAGTTTGGACGTTTCTGTTCTTCATGTGAAGCTGAGGCTGAGGCCGACCTGAGGCCGAGTTTGACCTGAGTTTGACCTGAGTTTGACCTGAGGTGGTGTGTCTGGTGTTTGAGGAACTTTGATGTGTTTGAAACATTATAATATTTAAATCTATTTAAATGTTCTGGATGGAAAAGTCATATTTATAACGTGAACATTTGTTTTTGTCGTTTTGTTTCCTTCAATAAAAAATTAAAAATCTGCTTCATTTGTTGCTTCGTCTCTGATTTTATTTAAAACTAAACGACTGAACACAACAAGTCGACTAGAAACCGACGTCTTTAAAAATGTGACTGAAGTGAATTTAAACCAGACTCAGACTGAACTTTAGATTCATAAAACTCGTGTGTTTAATTTAAAAAGTCAAACTACAGTTTCTTTCCCTTTCACAAAAAAAAAAAAAAGGTATTTGAATTTTTTTTTAAAGTGTTTCTACTTTTATTTTTATACAGTTTTTATCCTCGTCCAGTTTGATCATAAAATCTGACAAAAACACTTCTTATTGCTCTTTTTGAAGATTCATCAGTGGTCCTGGTTTAGACCTGGTTTAGTCCTGGTTTAGACCTGGTTTAGTCCTGGTTTAGACCTGGTTTACTGGTTTAGTCCTGGTTAGTCCTGGTTTAGTCCTGGTTTAGTCCTGGAGTCCTGGTTTAGTCCTGGTTAGTCCTGGTTAGTCCTGGTTTAGTCCTGGTTTAGTCCTGGTTTAGTCCTGGTTTAGTCCTGGTTTAGTCCTGGTTTAGTCCTGGTTCAGTCCTGGTTTAGTCCTGGTTTAGTCCTGGTTTAGTCCTGGTTTAGTCCTGGTTTAGTCCTGGTTTAGTCCTGGTTTAGTCCTGGTTTAGTCCTGGTTTAGTCCTGGAAGTTTAGAGTCCTGGTTTAAGTCCTGGGTCCTGGTTTAGTCCTGGTTTCAGTCCTGGTTTAGTCCTGGTTTAGAGTCCTGGTTTAGTCCTGGTTATAGAGTCCTGGTTTAGTCCTGGTTCAGTCCTGGTTTAGTCCTGGTCCTTTAGTCCTGGTTATAGAGTCCTGGTTATTAGTCCTGGTTAGTCCTGGTTTAGTCCTGGTTCAGTCCTGGTTCAGTCCTGGTTTAGTCCTGGTTCAGTCCTGGTTTAGTCCTGGTTTAGTCCTGGTTTAGTCCTGGTTCAGTCCTGGTTCAGTCCTGGTTCAGTGGTTCAGTGTTTGTCCTGCAGGGGGCAGTAGAAGCTGTTAAATGCTCCAGTCCTCGTGGGTCTAAAATAGTTTGAGGAAGTAAATAATTATTGAAGCTTTTCTCTTCAGTTTGTGAGTTTTTCTTCAGTTTCTTTCTCTTCTGCTCTTTTATTTTCTGGACTCAGATGTTCTGATGTTTTTCCTGGTTCCTCCAAACACTAAACTTTATTTTCTTCAGCACAAAATATTTTGAAATAATCACTTTTTTAAACTGCACTTTTCAAAACTTGTAGATTTGGACAAAGTTTCTGTTTTATTTTCATAATTCTATCATCTCTTCAGTTATAGTTTCTTTCGATTCACAAAAATTCATATTTGAATATTTTTAAGTGTTTTACTTTTATCTTTACAGTTTTTATTCTCGTCCAGTTTGATCCAGAGTCAAACGCTTCAGTTTAAGTTTGTTGTCGTTCGCAGTGTCGGGGAGTAACAGATTACATGTACCAGAGTAATCAGAGTACACATGATGAGTAACTGTATTCAGTTACAGTTACTGTTTCAGTGAGTGGGAATTGGATTACAGTTACTTTGTTCAAATAAATGGATTAAACACAGAGGGATTTTACTGTTTTCACATTTTGGGATATATTCCTTTTTTCTTTTTTTCCTCGGTAATTCCACTCACTGCCGGAAACTAAACCAGGACTAAACCAGGACTAAACCAGGACTAAAACCAGGTCTAAACCAGGTCTAAACCAAAGTCTAAACCAGGTCTAAAACCAGGTCTAAAACCAGGTCTAAACCAGGTCTAAACCAGGTCTAAACCAGGACTAAACCAGGTCTAAACCAGGACTAAATCCTGCTGCGTGGACCTTGTCTCCTCATCTTCTATCAATAATATTTTTGATACGGTTCAGTAAAGTCTGGACTTTTGTTTCTCTACGGCAAATCAAGTAATCCAAAGTAATCAGATTACATTACTCACTTTAAGTAATTGAATGGATTACGTTACAAACTACATTGTGGTCTATGTAATCTGTAATCTGTAGGGGATTACATTTTAAAAGTAAACTTCCCGACACTGGTGGTGACTCGTTTCTTCACTGTTTCTGTTTTGGTTTTAAAGTTTTTTCTGCACAGTTTTAGTTCGGTTCATTTTTTTACTTTTGTGGGATTTTTTGGTGGGATTTTCTAAACTTTGTATTTTTATAAAGGTTTGAGTCAGAAGATCAATGTTTGTATTTGTCCACACGTTTGTACGTTGAACATATTGAGTTAAAAAAAAAGTGGCCACCAAAAAATTCTCTTTTTGAAATATTATTACTGTGGTAAAAGAAGTGACTTGGTTCATTCAGTTTTGTTTAAATAAATGAAATAAATGATGTGATGAAGGCAGAAGTTGGTCCTGGTGAAGCTCTGTGTGTCCTTCATTCATTGGTTTTTCAAAATAAAACCAAAAATAAGAACATGAAAAAACAACACATTTTTTCATTATTTGTCTCCAAAACCAAAATGAAAAAACAGATAAAGATTCATTTTCAATTTTGTGTTTACACGAAAAATGGAAAAAACGAATAACGACCGTTTCCCGTTTATGTGACTTCAGTGACTGAACCAGAACTGAACCAGGACTGAACCAGGACTAAACCAGGACTGAACCAGGTCCGGGACCAGACTGGGACCAGACCGGGACCGGAGTGGACTCCTAGCCTCAGCTTGAGCCTCTCAGCCTCCGGTCTGGTCCCGGTCTGGTCCCGGTCTGGTCTCGGTCTGGTCTCGGTTTTGTCATGGTCTGGTCCCAGTCTGGTCCTGGACCTGGATCAGTCCTGGTTCAGTCCGTATGTGGTTCAAAACGTAAACAGGAAACGGTCGTTTTCCGTTTTTTCCATTTTTCATTTAAACATAAAATCGAAAACTGAAAAAACAAATCATTTTCTGTTTTTTCTTTTTTGGTTTTGGAGACAAATAATGAAGAAAACTGTTGTTTTTTTTCATTTTCTGATTTTTGTCAGGGTCCAGGTCCACGGTTCAAAGACGAGCGCAGAACTAAACACCACAAACTACAGATTTAAAGAAGAAGCGACGTGTGAGCAGCAGCCAGAGCCACAATCATCACGATTCAAGTCGTGTTGTTGGATAAAGTGTAGAAAAGAAGTGGACTGAGTGAGTTTGACCCACAGAGTTCAGAGCCGCTCAGATGAAGCTCCTGATGTTCACAGTTACAGGAGACACGCTGCACACAGACTCTATGAACAGGATTTTTGTGACGGACAAAAGAGCAAAAAAAAAAAACAAGATCATGTAAAGTGAGTTCATACAAACATTTTAAGACCAAAATGTGGAGGTTCACAGCAGCAGGTACAGAGACGAGCCACATGATCCTAATGTGAGTCAGAAGGAGCTGGAAGAACCTCCTGGAGAACTTCCTGTTTGTCACTCGTATGTACAGTCTGTGGTTGTATGCTGCTGTTCACAGATGTTGTCCTGTTGGCTCCATCAGGTCAGGACCTGCAGCTCTGGGGCGGTTTGACCTGAGTGTGAAGCTGGTGGGATGAAGATCAGCTCCTCCAAGTCCAAGGTCGTGGTTCTCGACCTGGAAAAAGGCGTCTTGTCGTCTCCGGGCGAGTGGAGAGTCTCTGCCTCAACTGGAGGAGTTCAAGTCTGTCGGGGTTTTGTTCTCGAGTGACGGGAGGACGGAGCCAGAGATTGACAGGTGGACAGGTGCAGCGTGGGCAGATTGACAGGTGGACAGGTGCAGCGTGGGCAGATTGACAGGTGCAGCGTGGGCAGATTGACAGGTGGACAGGTGCAGCGTGGGCAGATTGACAGGTGGACAGGTGCAGCGTCTGCAGTGATGCGGTCGCTGTATCGTTGTGGTGAAGAGGAGCTGAGGCGAAAGGTGAGGTCAGTCTTCGTTCCTCCTCTCACCTCTGGTCATGAGCTCTGGGTAGTGACTGAAAGAACGAGGTCACAGATATAAGAGACACAAATGAGTTTCCTCCGCAGGGCGTCCGGACGCTCCCTTAGAGACAGAGTGAGGAGCTCGGAGTAGAGCCGCTGCTCCTCCACGTGGAGAGGAGCGTCTGAGGGGAGGACGTCTGTTCTGATGTCTCCTGGACGTGTCCCTCAGGAGGTGTTCATGTCCCACCGGGAGGAGGAGGAGACCCAGGACACACTGGAGGGACCATGTCTCTGGACTGGACTGGGAACACCTCAGGTCCCACTGGAGGAGCTGGAGGAAGTGTCTGGGGTGAAGGAAGTCTGGGTGTCTCTGTTCAGACTGACGCTCCGAGACCCGACCCCAGAGAAGAAGAAGAACATGGAGGATGAGTTGTATGAAAGTGATGATGGTGATGATGATGATGATGGTGATGATG